CCGCTTCTCCCGTTTGAGTCTAGATCCCTAAAGACTCGCCCGGATCTGGAGCTCAGAGTCTGCGACTCCCTCCCGATTGATTGAAAATGCCAACCACGCCCTCCGCCGCCAGCCCACTCTGCACACTCCGCACCTCAGAATTTGACTTCAGCACTGCGCCTCCTCTGAGTGTCCGTATGCGTTACTCTTTCCTCCTAGTTGTAGGAATTCCACTCAGCCAGCGTTCCTGTGGTTCTGGGTGATGTCCGTTCTGTCTTTTAGTTTCACTTTTGAAGTGGTTGTTCAAGGCAGCAAACTCCGGCGTTAACCTATGCCGCCATCTTGGTTCTCTCTGGCACATTTTCTATAAAAGGTATTTCCTAGGGACCAATTTCAGTGTACTGTGATTTGTGTGAATACCTTGTATAATGGATGTTCTGAATAACAATTCCACACTGGAACCTGTCTTTTATTAGCTCTTTTATTTTCTTAGGAGAAGCTTCATTTTTATTATTATTATTATTTATAATATATCTTTATTGATTTCAGAGAGGAAAGAGGGAGGGAGAGAGAGAGATAGAAACATCAATAATGAGAGAGAATCATTATTGATTGGCTGCCTCCTGCATGCCCCCAACCGGGGATCAATCCCGCAACCCAGGCATGTGCCCTTAACCAGAATTGAACCTGAGACCCTTCAGTCCACAGGCCGATGGTCTGTCCACTGAGCCAAACCGTGTACGGCACATTTTTATTACTTTTGAATTCTTTATTTTTATTCTGGCTGCTTCTAATGCTCTGGTATTATTTTTAAAAACTTGCTGTCTGGTCCTGTGCAATGTTTTAAAGAGATGTAAAACCTTGGCTCCCCCAACCCCCCACCCATGTCTCCTCACTGTGGCGGCTACTTCTCCAGGGGATGAGTAGACCCCAGTATTGTGTTACTTTTAAAATAGACTCTAATTATCATACTTATTTTGGTCGTTAAGAGTGGGATAGCTCCAAAGAATGTTTATTTTTATTTTTTTTAAATATTTTATTGATTTTTTTACAGAGAGGAAAGGAGAGGGATAGAGAGTCAGAAACATCAATGAGAGAGAAACATCGATCAGCTGCCTCCTGCACATCCCCTACTGGGGATGTGACTGCAACCAAGGTACATGCCCTTGTTTGGAATCGAACCTGGGACCCTTCAGTCCGCAGGCCGACGCTCTATCCAGTGAGCCAAACCAGTTAGGGCAAAGAATGTTTATTTTAAAAAAAGTTTCCTTCTAAACCATCCTGTATATTTTCTTTCTTTTTTTGTATATTTTCTTAAAAAATATATTTTATGACTTTTTTATAGAGAGGAAGGGAGAGAGATAGAGAGTTAGAAACATCGATGAGAGAGAAACATCATCGATCAGCTGCTTCCTGCACACTCCCTACTGGAGATGTGCCTGCAACCAAGGTACATGCTTTTGACCGGAATCGAACCTGGGACCTTTAAGTCCACAGGCCGATGCTCTATCCACTGAGTCAAACCAGTTATGGCTATATATTTTCTTTAAGACATTTATTCCACAGGGTTGTTTTCTTAAGTCACTGTTTAAAAATTTTATACAACACATCACATGAAATTTACCATCTTATGTTTTTTTTGTTATTGTTAATCCTCACCCAAGGACATTTTTGCCATTGATTTTTAGAGAGAGTGGGAGGGGTTGAGACAGAGAAAAACTTCAATGTCAGAGAAACACATTGATTGTTTGCCTCCCACAGGCTCCCCACCAGGGCTGGGAATCAAGCCTCCAACCTAGGTACATGCCCTTGACCAGAATAAAACCCGAGACCCTTCAGTCTATGGACCAATGCTCTAACCACTGAATCAAACTGGCTAGGGCCCTCTTAACCATTTTTTTATTTTTTATTTTATTTTTTAATATACTTTATTGATTTTTTACAGAGAGGAATGGAGAGTTGCCTGCAACCAAGGTACATGCCCTTGACCAGAATCAAACCTGGGACCCTTGAGTTCGTAGGCCGACGCTCTATCCACTGAGCCAAACCGGTTAGGGCTTAACCATTTTTCTTAATACTTTTATTGATTTTAGAGAGGAAAGGAGAGGGAGAGAGATAGAAACATCAATGATGAGAGAGAATCATCGATCAGCTGCCTCCTGCATGCCCCCCACTGGGGATCGAGCCCGCAACCAAGATACATGCCCTTGACCGGAATCAAACCCGGGACTCCTCAGTCTGTAGGCCAATGCTCTATCCACTGAGCCAAACCAGCTAGGGCCCTCTTTACCATTTTTAAGTGTACAACTCTGTAGTGTTAAGAATGTTTACATTCTTGTGAAACAAATCTTAACTCACTTTTGTACACCTATGTGTACCTTAGATTTATGGTATCTTTGTGTTACATGGAGAAGCTGGAAAATGTTACATGCCCTTAATGGTTACTCAAACCCATCATCTTTTGCTGTGCATTCTGACACTCTAACCACCAGCAATTAGTGACCAGGGCAACTGCTTTTAAAAAAAATTCCCTTTTCTTTTTTTTTCAGGTGGACCCCTATGAAATGAAACCACCAGTGAATTTGATTAGCTGTGTTGCTTGTATATTCTTTAATTCCCCTCATTTTATTCTTAAATTTTTTTCATTTTAAAATCTTTTATTTTTCAATTACAGTTGACACACATTATTGTCTTAGTTTCAGATGTACACCCCAGTGATTAAGCATTACATTACTTACTAAGTGATCGTCCTGATAAATCTCCCACCCTTCTGACACCATACATAGATATTACAATATTGTTGACTCTGTTCCTTATGCTGTACTTTACATCCTCATGGCTATTCTGTAACAACCAATATGTACTTCTTTTTAAATATTAAAAAAAATCTTTATTGTTGAAAGTATTACATATGTTCTCTTTTTCCCCATTGGCCTCTTCTAGCACACTCCTGCCCACTACCCCAGGCTTTCACCACACTATTGTCTGTGTCCATGGGTTATGCAAATATGCATACAAGTTCATTGGTTGATCTCTTCCCACCCACCCTTCCCTGCCTTCTCTCTGAGGTTCAACAGTCTGTTCATGCTTCTATGTCTCTGGATCTATTTTGTTCATTAGATTCCACATATGAGTGAGATCATGTGGTACTTGTCTTTCTCTGACTGGCTTATTTCAGTTAGCATAATATTTTTCAGGTCCATCCATGCTGTTGTAAATGGTAAGAGTTCTTTCTTTTTTTACAGCTGCATAGTATTCCAATGTGTAAATGTACCAGACATTTTATATCCACTCATCTCCTGATGGGTACTTGGGCTGTTTCCAAATCTTAGCTATTGTAAATTGCCCTGCTATGAACATATATTCCTTCTGATTGGTGTTTTGGGTTTCTTAGGATATTCCTAGATGTGGGATCATTGGGTCAAATGCAAGTTCCATGTTTAATTTTTTGAGGTAGTTTCATACTGTTTTTGATAGTGTCTGCACCAGTCTGCATTTCACCAGCAGTGTACTGGAGTTCTCTCCACATCCTCGCCAACACTTGGTCGTTTGTTGATTTGTTACATTAGCCATTCTGATAGGTGTGAGGTGATACTTCATAGTTGTTTTAATGACTTTGATGATTAGTGACTTTGAGCATTTTTTTCATATGCCTCTAGGCCTTCTGTATATCCACTTTGGAGAAAGTCCTTTGCTATTTTTAAATTGGACTAAAGACCCTGTGCACGAAATTTGTGAATGGGGGGTGGGTGTCCCTTGGGAGATGTCTCACGGCCTCGCAATTTAGTACCACTGGCTCCTAACTGCTCACCTGCCTGATTGCCCCAACCCCTGTGTCTGCCTGCCTGATCACCCCTAATTGCTCCCCTGTCGGCCTGATTGCCCCTAACCGCCTCTGCCTTGCCCGGCACCCAGGACCCGGGCTTCGCTCACTCTGGCTGGCTGAAGGCACCCAAGACCTGGACCGGCTTCGCCTGGGCTGCAGCCACAGGCACCCAGGACTGTGGGGCGAGCTACTTTTCCCTCTCCTGGGCCGCAGCCTGGCTGGTCCCCATTCCTCTCTCACGAGCTCATTTGTGCCTGGTTGTTCCCCGTTCCTCTCTCCCCTGTATTGGCTTGAGGGCATGATGATCATTTGCATATTAGCTCTTTATTATATAGAACTAGAGGCCCAGTGCACAAAAGTTTGTGCACTCTCGGGGAGAGGGGGTCCCTCAGCCTGGCCTGTGCCCTCTCGCAGTCTGGGACCCCTCGGGAGATAATGACCTGTTGGCTTAGGCCTGCTCCCGGGTGGCAGAGGGCAGGCCCAATCCCTAGGTGCAGCCCCTGGTCGGGCTCAGAGGTGGGCCGATTGGGGAGTTGGGGCGCGGCACACTGTCACGCTCAGAGCAGGGCTGATCAGGGGGTTGAGGAGCTCCCCCCTGTCACTCACAGAGTAGGGCCGATAGGGGAGTTGGGGAACTGCCCCCATCACACACAGAGCAGGGCGGGTCAGGGGGTTGGGGCACCGCCCTCTAACACCCACAGAGCAGGGCCGATCAGGGGGTTGGGATGCCGCCACTGTCGCACTCAGGGCAGGGCCGATGGGGAGGTTATGGCTCTACCTCATCACACACAGAGCCGGGCCCGTGGGGGGGTGGGGGAGGGTGCCACACACAGAGCAGGGCCGATCAGGGAGTTGGGGCACCGCACCCTGTCACACACAGAGCTGCAGGGCAATCAGAGGTTGGGGAGCTCCCCCATATCAGGCACAGAGCAGGGCTGATCAGGAGGTTGGGGCGCCTTCCCCTGTCAGGAACAGAGCAGGGTGGATAGGGACGGTGTGGC